CCCCAAAACCCCAAAACCCCAAAACCCCATGCATCAAAATTTATGAACGATTAGCCTCTGTTTAAAGCCATTAAAATATATTAAAATCATCTTACCTGTTTATTTATGAAATTAAAAAGGTAAACTCTTAGTATGTATAACAAAGATTATAAATCAAGAAATTAATTGAGAAAGAATTATTCAAATTTATGAAAATCTTCTTCTTTCCTGGAAAAAGATGTTAGGCTTTGGTCTTTAATTATTGAAGAAATTTTGGTTGCAAGCGCTTAAGTCTTTAATTACACAAACTTATTGCTTTCTATCGTTAAATACATCTATTAATGAAGCATTATGATTGCCAACTCTAACATTAGATAGCAATCTTGATTCATGATGATAACTTATTGGTATCTTAGATAATATTTTTTCAGAGGCATTTGCCAGCTTAGGTCCCAAAGGAGTTTGAAATCCTGATGAAGAAGTATCTCTCCGCTTTTGATATTCATCCTTGTCCAAGGAATGCAATGATTTGAATGAGTCAGCGATTATACTTATTTCTAACTTAGGTTTGATATGTATCTTTATCTGAGGGATATGATGCGATTCGTCTTTGAAAGATTAAATTTAAGGGCTTATTAAGATACTAGTATCTGCTACTTACTCTTCAACGTTTCCGTTTCTTCGGAAGTTAAATGCCTCTGATCTTTTTTTAATTTAGGGCTAAGATATCATTAGGTTTTGAGTCACAACATCTTTTAGCTCTTGATCATAGTTCTAAATTTGGTGTTTATTCAATAAAACTGGATTGATATTCACTAAATCTCTTGAAATTCCTCTTCTGTTGAGTAATCTATGATTACGTTTTTATGCCTGAATTATAAATGCCTCAGCCCTATTTTAGGCTCTATTATACTCAGCTTCTTAGATCCTTCTCTAACTTTCTAAATGATTGTGTTTTCTCAAAGAAGGAAGTGCAGCTTTCATCTCTTACTCAACTTTTTCAAATACAGATAGTCTTTATGAATAAAAATTAGATGGAGGTGAGCCTATACTATTTAGAGATGACCTTAGATTCTTTGTTTCTTTTTATATTCTTTCCTAAATTTCAACATAACTTGCAAATTGGAAGCATTTTTAATCTTTGTATCCATTTCCAATATTATTTTATTTCTTGATTATCTAGGGTGAACTATTCATAGTCTTGGACTAACTACTTCCTGGGGGTGCAGATGCAGGCATTTTATTCTGATCTTAGTTCATTTTAAAGTATTTGTAACTTGGCGATCTATTTTTATTTGAATTTATTTAGTTTATATTACTCTTTGAATTTTTATTAGAATAATTGAAGTTAGAATTAAAGTTACCATTTTTGTTAAAAGCCTAATAATTTTAAACAGAAATTCCAGTTTCTTTATTTTCACGAGACTAATAACTAGTATCAATGAATATTTACGTTTGCTTTGCGGAGTTTTAATGATTATTCTGTTTATTTTGATATATATGAGTTGATTACCTATTCATATTAGAATCATATACGTTTTTAAATGCCTTGAGTAATTTAGATTTTTAATCGTGACTCTTCTTGACCATTCTTACTGAATTCATGTCCCTGCTAAAATTGTTTCTATTAGATGTCGTAATTTATAGGTTTCAATTTTTCTCAATAAAATCATTGAGACATATTTAAGAAGCTGCAATCTTATTTGCTGAATTCTCTAGCAATTCATTTTCCTTGCTATTAGGTCTAGTTTTATACAATACCTTTACTTGAGGTTTGAAAAATCTTAATCCACTCTAATTTTTCAGAGGGAAAAACCGATTTGTCTATTATGGCTCGTTAGGATTAGCCATCATTCTTGAAAAAGACTAGTAATTTTGGTTTTAAGATTAATTATTTTGCCCTCCATTGGTCATTGACAATTCATTCGATACCTCTTCCTACAAGGAATTATCATTTAAACTCATTTGAAGCTATTATGATATGATTTATCCAAGACTTTGTAATCTTTATTTAAATTGTTGCTCAAGATTTTGATATTACTTATCGGACCTTGGTGTTGTTACTTCATTCATGATTTATTTAATTAAAAAAAACTTAAATTTTCTCGATTTTCTCATCAAATAATTCATAACGGGGTTTTGGGGTTTTGGGGTTTTGGGG